GCCTCCTTTCATCCATCCATCCATCCATCCATCCATCCATCCATCCATCCATCCATCCATCCATCCATCCATCCATCCATCCCTAACCTTCTGTATTTCTACTTGCACAGGTTATTCAGAGGATGGTGGTGCCCTGCGAGGAGAGGTTATCCCAGAGCATGAGTTTGCGACTGGACCAGTGTGTCTTGATGACGAGAATGAGTTTCCTCCTGTGAGCATTCGGAACCCCTAAAACTGCAATTCGTGCTGAGAAGAAAGCATTAACTTCTTACAGAAGAGATACTGTTGTCCCCACCTTGTCCCAGCTCACTGTGAAGCCTAAAATAACTAAGTTATAGGGACAGTGCCAGGAAAATAACACCCCATTAATGGCAGCTGGGGATGGGGCAGAGATGATCAAACCTAATAACTAGAGATGGATCTGAACAAGCTCATTGAATGAAGTGCAGACGCAGAATGAGGTTCAGATCCAGATCTAACCTTTGTGCCTTGTGCAGGTTTCCAGTATTACCAGGAGTAGCTTTCATCTGAGCAATACCATCCTTTAGAAATAAAACTTAATACTCCCTGTTGCATTTACAGTCAGTTGGGTTAGTTTATGGACTGCAACTGGAACATACCTGAACCTCACCAGTCCCTGCAAGTCCGAGCTAACTGAAAAGGAAACTCCTTTTCCAAGGACAAAGATGAAAGGCATTAACAGAGTTTTAAACCCGTTTATGATTTTTACATGGCACTTTCTCAGTTACTATTTAGAGCAGATACTGGCTTTTTAAAATCTAACCTAAGCTTGGCAGTGTCTTTCCAGCTCCTTTTCCTTGTTGTGTCAAGTATTGAACTCCTGTTGGTAACGTGCTATGTTCTGGCTGTAATTAGTGCTGTCTTCATACTAGTAATGCATTAATACAGCAGAATATTGTAATGGGTTTCAGGTTGTAGTCTTGGCAGAGTTTTGAATCCCTTTCACTCTGTTTTTACATATCCTGCTGGGGAGTTTTGCCTGAAAGGGAGGAAGTAAAAACTACCCAGGATTTGTTCCATAGGCAGAGGCTGACCTCTGGGAGGCACTTTGCTGTTAACTGATGCAAAGTGTTACTCAGATCAAAAGTGACGAGCTCATGACTCCCTTTGAAACAACATGACCTAAATCCAACTCAGTTTGATTAACCTTAGACCAAGTCTCTTTTGTCGCCTCTAACATAACCTGCTGCAAACTGAGAACAGGAGTTTTCCAGTTGTCCAACTCCATTACCCAAGAAGGGTATTTAAAACATCTCCCTTCTTGTTCCTTCTTCCTCCTTGTTTCCTCCTTGTCTCTTCCTTCCTTGTTGTGGAGGAGAAGGCGGTGGCCCAGGCCCCTGGAAGGAGCAGCAGGACCAGAGAGAACCCCTTTGCTTCCTTCTGATAAACCTGCTCTTGACCTGGTTTAGGGACACACAAATGCCAGCAAGCAGGAATCATGCTGCTCCTGAATGAGCCTCCCTGCTGGGATTAGGCTGTAGAAAAGCAGCCCCGAACCCCTGCTGTACAACAGCAGGTACTTTATCAATGAACTCTGATCTCTCCGAGCCCCCATGCTGGAATGAACCCGAGCGAGCAGCTCAGATCCGCAGTGCTGGGGAGGAGATGGTGTGGGAGGGAAGGAGCTTTCCACAAATACTCCCTGATCTGGTGACTGAGCCGTTGGAGCTTCCCGATGAAGCCTCTGCGCCGGGACTTGGGCTTTGCCCCTCTCCTGCTGACGGTAATGTCTCCTGCCTTGGTTTCGCAGGCGGAGCGGCGAGGGCTCCCGCTGCTCTGGTGCGCACGGGTCGGTGGTCAGGATGTTTTGATGCTCTGGATTTCACTGAACTTTGCTGTTTTCTCAGTGCTGTTTGGTCTCAGTGACGCGTTCCAGGGGGGTTTCAGGCATCGGTCACTCCAGTGTGGAGAAGGAGGGAGAGAAAACCTGACTTTATCCAACAAAAATGTTTTGACAGCGTTGTGTTTGGCGGGAACATGGGAAGGGTTTTGTTTGTTTTCCAGCGTGCAACAAAAAAAAGACATTTAAAAACCTCAAAACTTGGGACAAAATGGAATATTCGCCCGCAGCCCACGCCACGGGGATGGCTTTGAACTAAAGACAGGCTTCTGGAGACACAGCAGCGCTCAGATCCAGCAGCTCCTCTCCATTTTGAAACCTCTTCACTTCCCTTGACCTCAAGCGAGACTTCAGAGGCTCAGCTGTTAACAGTGAGGAGAAGCAGCTTCAGTCTAACAAGAGATCTGTTGCTGGTTGTCAGAGATGGCCTCTTCACTAAAAACAAGATCAGAGAAGAGATGAGAAGACCAAGGAGGGCTCATAAAAGGTGGCCTCAACAACAGCGGATGTGGATGTTGCTACCAATGGCACCAGGACTGCTGAGGGATCCTGCGGCAGGAGGTTGAACACGTTCAGCTTGTCTCTTGCTTGCATTGATGGGGTGGATTAAGCACTTTGAGGCCCACTGTTGGTCTTACACAGAAAGGACTTGGGTGTCACTGAGCAGGACAAGCAGGCTGGGGCCTCAGGTGAAGAGAAGCTGCCATGCTTGAGACCTGTGTGGTCTTTATGGGATGGGAAGAGCAAACCCAGCTCTGGCTGTTTCCTGGTTACCTGCCCAAGCAGCTCCCACTTCTCTGTGGGTTGATCAGTGTTGGTGAGGTTTCCAGTGGCGTTGGGAGCTGTTGTTGTGTGCCTCAGGCCAGGCAGGGCAGGACTTTGGGAAGCCAGCACAGTGGCTCTCCCCACCAAGGCATGCTCAGAGCAGTGTTGGGGTAGTGCTGTGTCGTCCTGCAGGATTCTGCAAGCAGGATGGACCTGAGGAATGGAAGCAGGGAATCTGCTTGAAGCTGCTGGGATTCAGTAGGAAAGGTGGTTTCTCCCAGCAGAATGCTCAGTGCTTTTCCAGGCAGACATGATGCATCCTGCCCTTGGCTGCACACTGAAGCTCGTCACCTTGGGGACCAGAGGTGATGCGAAGGCTTCATCAGGAGAACCATTTCATTAAGTCAGGCTGGATTGCACTCAGCAGGCAGCTCTTCAAAGACAGCTTCCCCTCGCTGATACACAGCCTTTAAAAGCATCTCTTCCACATTGATTATTGGCTGCCTCCAAACTGGTTGGGCAGCCTGCCTGTGCTGCCAGAGGATGCTGCTGCAGAGGGTGGAATGAAACCCCCCAGCAGCACAGCTCCCACTGATGCCTGCTCCCAGGAAGGATGAACAGGAACACGAGCTCCAGCAGCCCATCCAGCCTAGCAGAGCCCCAGTGTGGTGCCCACATACATCTCACTGCTCTGACCCATGGATCTCAACACAAGTGACCAGGCTGCAGATGTGTCTTTGACTCCATGGGACCAATGTTTGCCCAAGTTCCTCCTCACTCACTGCTGGATGGTGGGTCTGTTGCACCATCACTAATGATTTGAAGCGATTTTTTCAACAGCTGGCTGTTAGCAGAGGAAAGGCCATTGATTTTGCAGTGAAGTTCTATCAGTAATTGTGTTTCACAGGGGATGAGCAAGTTTGGCAGAACCTGACTGGCCTCTTCTTCCTCACAGCAGCCTCTCTGGTACTCGACGGGCATTTTGGCACCTGGGGCTTGCAGGATTGAACTCATCAGTGGGATAAATGCAAACCAGTGCCAATGCTTGTGCCTCAAAACTGGGCAAGTGATGGTCCTGAAGCCACAGCAAGACGGATCCCAGGAGGAGGAGCTGGCACAGACCCTCACACAGCTGGGGCTGTGGGGCTGATACCACACTGCTGCAGGATGCAGGTCATGTCCAGGATGGAGCTGATACAGGGGAAATCTGTGCCTTGGCTCATGGTCGGTGTCCACCAGAAGTAGGTGCTCATCTCACCCAGGTCTCCAGCCTCATCCCATGGCATTAGGAGCTGATGTGAAGTGGTTCAGGGTCCTCACTGCTGCCTGTTCTTCATGCGCCTGCTTTGCTCTTTCTCTCAGAGGCTTTGCTGATACTTGGGCTAAGCTTCCCCTCACCTAATTTGGCCTAACCTCTTGGTGTTTAACTCTGGGCTCCATCTGGAAACCCTAGAGAGATGCATTGACGCACCCCTGAGAGTGATGCACCCCTGAGAGAAATGCAGTGATGCACAGCACCCACTTTCCCCTCCCACCATGCCCGGAGCTGAGCTTTTGAGGAGGAATTAGGAAGGCCAAAGGACTTGACCCCAGTAACTGATGTCCTGCAAGCGCTCAGCCCAGTGCCAGCTAGAGGCAAGACACATTTATCACCAAGCCAGATGGTTCCTGTTCCCAGGACCTGTTAAATTTGGGGAGGGGGAGAGTAAATAAATAAAACCACCCACAAATGAATGGAAAGTAAAACAGGACAGGACATCCCCCCCCCCCCCCATGTGCCTAAACCCGACTTGAACCAAACCCTCTTGCTGGGAAAAGTAAGGCCGTTCTGTTTTGATTTTGGTAGATAATCTTGTGCCGCGGAGGTCAGCCGGGCAAAGCGAAGAGGTCGTGAGGAGAAGCAAACATCCGCGCTCAGGACGGCTGCTGGAAGCGCGTTGGAAAAGCCAGGAATACGGAAGAACAGATTTGGGGGTCCCCAAGACGAGAATAAGTCAAACCCGAGGTGGGCCACTGCTTTTGTCCTATAGTAAGTGAGTACCTGGCCCCCTGTTTCAGTTCCTGTCCAGGGGTGTCTGTACTGTATGCACATCGCTATAGTTAACAAACCATATGTTAGAGCCACAGTGTAAATGCTAATTTAATCAGATTTGTATGTAACCAGGATTTTATATACCCACTTGTCCCTTTTCTAATTTATGCTGGTTTATGTGTATAAATGTACTTAGAGGAAGATATATTAAAACTTAATGTCTTTGTACAGTATATACAAACTATTTTACCCAGGCAAAGTATTTTTGCAGTGACATTAGAGATGCCATTTGCTATGTTGAAAGACGGAATAAAGTCATGCTCTGTCCCTTGCAGCTCCTGCTGTTCTTTGTGGGGCCCTAAAGATGTCAGTCTTGATTAATGCTGTGAGTGGGTTTGGGGGGCTGGTGATTGATGCAGCTCCTGCACCAAGCCCAGTCCACACCAGTCCATGGCTTGTCCAAAGAGAGATCTGGGTATGTAAATCAGAGCCAAAAATTGCTGCCGAAAACCCTCTCTCAGCTGCTGGGCAGTCCCAGTGGGTTCTTAGGTTTCAGCTGCACCTTTGAGGTTGCCTTTGCATCTGCCCAGAATGGCCCTGTAAGAGCTGCTTCCCCCACCTGCACCCCTGGCATTGCCCATGAGGAGGGTGGCACTAAGGGGAGCCCAGGACCCTCTCTTTGTTACACTTGGGTCTTTAAGATACCCGCATTAATGAACCTCACTTGGGGTAGGTGCTGTTTCCTAGAGCATGCCTTGTGCCTGCCAGGAATTTTCTCTCTTAAGCCAATGGACTTGAGGGTCTCAGCACCATAAGGGAGAGAACGTTGTGCTCCCACCAGTAAGGTCCTGTAAGGTCCATTCTGGAGGAAAGCCAAGTGCATTTCCCAGAGGAATTCTGTCCTAAAGCCAGCTCTCCCAGAAGGGAGTTCTAATCCAAGACCTGGCTCTTCCTCAGCTAAAGAGCCTCACAAAAAAGCCTATCTCTGTCCATATGCCCAGAGCCACCAGGTACAGCAGTGCCCTATCCCATGGGGTGAGAGGGCTGCTCTGTGTGCTCACACAGAGCCACAACTCACCTCCCTGCTTCATCGCATGGAGCAAAGGGGACCGCAGCCTCATCCCTCTCAGTGGCCAACCTCCAGCCTGGAGCCATGACATTCCTGATCACAGAAACCAGGCTCAGGAAAGGAGCACCCGGAGCACTCACTCACTCAGAGACACACCAGTCGCGTTGTTCTCTCCATGCCATGGTCCAGCACGGCTGTGTGAGCTCCGGGTGCGTGGCACCGACAGGCCACGTGCTGCGGGTCACAGCACGGACTCACAGCGGGGTCTTTGGAGTAATCTGCAACGGAGACGTTGTCGGTTGCAATGTCCTCCAGAGCCTGGGTGTAAGCCCTGCTGATGGCAGGCAGCACCTCCTCGTACTCTCTGGATGCCACGTCCAAAGGCTCCTGCTCCTGGATATCATGATCCAGATTGAAAATGAGGGGTGGCTGGTGATGCTCAGCCGGCCCAATGCTCCCATCGCAAGCCATTGCTCCTCCTAGGGAGGAAGTGAGAGGAAAACACACTGAGTCCCCACTGCCCAGGGATCAATCACCTTGGTGCTCCTCATCCATCTATGATGGCCCAATCCCACCATGGCCAGCTTTGGGAGCCTGGGTCCTGCTGCTAGTCCAGGCGTGCTCCTGAGGCTGCAAAGCCATCGTGCGGGCACAGGTGAATGCATATTTACTCCTCGCTGGGTTTGCTCTTGAATTAACCTGAGTTGGTTTTCACCTGTATCTGCAAGGAACCAATCAATAAAAGGCCCCGGTACCTGTGGTGTAAAAGGCCTTGTACTGAGCCAGCCGCAGTGCCTCTATCCCACCATCCTTCCCACCTGCCCCGCTGTTGGGATGGAGCAGAACCTGCAGGAAGAACAGAAAAGGGCCCATCAGCTCTTTGCAGAGTGAAAACTGCTCTGTGAGACCCAGACACACCACATCCCATCCATGCACATATTTAAACACCATTTAACCCCTGGATTGTGAGCAACCAACTGAGATTCGGTTGTTGGAGGGAGGGGGAACAGCAGAAGGGCACTGGGAAACAGCAGCATCTCCCTGTGCCAACCTGTCCCTGCACACAGGACCCTCTGAATTCACCTCCCCAGACCAATTCCGCTGCAATAAAGTGATCACAAAGGTGTGGGAGCTTTCAGCAGAGCAGGACAGAGCATTTTGGAGCCGGGATGTTCCCTGTGTCACCACCACTGCCCCATGCCGAGGAGACACCCATCTCCTCAGTGCTCACAGCTCAGTTAATGGCAGGGACATCTAAGGGAGCCAGATCCCTGCCTGGGGCCAGCAGCAAGCCCCAAGCTGAGGGTGAGCTCATGCGATGGGTAGGTGAGGTGCTGGAACATCGCTCCCGGTCCAGCATCCCACCACTGACTCAGCCCGCTGTGCGAGCGCTCCCTTCCCTAACAACAGGGAATGGGGCTGAGGAGGAAGGGAAGAAGAAGGGAAGGGTGGGTCAAATCCCTCCCTTTCGGTATTTAGGACACTTGATCCGTGCAGGACGACGGCTTTGGCACAGGGCAGTGGGAAGACAAGTGAGCTGGATGGTGCGGCAGGCTCCTCCATCAGATAGGATCTGCTGCGGAGCCAATGGCTTCACCGAGGGCTGAGTCACTCGAGGTTTCCTCCCTGGGAATTGAGCTTAAAAGTGATTCAAGAAATTTCCACTGTGCTAAAAATGAGAACCAGCTGCTGCAGATGGAGGGGCCAAGCTCAGGAGCAGCGCTCGTCCTGCACTGATGCCTTAGCAGGTGCCCGGCACGTCCACAGCATCATGGAATGGGTTGGGTTGGAAAGGACCTTAAAGCTCAGCCAGTTCCAACCCCTGCCATGGGCAGGGACACCTCACGCTAGACCATGTCACCCAAGGCTCTGTCCTTGAACACTGCCAGCGATGGGGCAACCACAGTTTCTCTGGGCACCCTGTGCCAGCATCTCAGCACCCTCACAGGGAAGAGCTTCTGCCTTATATCCAACCTGAACTTCCCCTCTTCAAGTTTAAATCCACCGCCCCTTGTGCTATCGCCTTGGGGGCTGGTTGGTACCTCCCCCAAAAATGCCAGGATTCAGGATGCGGGATGATTTCCAAATGCTTTCTGCTTCCTTCATCACCCTCCATTGCAGGTAAATTAACCAAAAGGTCACCTAGAATTTGGTTTAAAAATCATGTTTTAGGGTTAAAAATGAAGGCTGTAAAGTGGAGGAGTGCAAGCTGCAAGGGGAACCCCTGCTACAGAATCCCCTCACACTGACGCTGTGTTGGAATAAAATGGCTCCAAAGCAGCAACCAGCAAATACTAAGGGCCCATGAAGGTACCAGGAACTGAACCAATCCTGCTTCCAGCCCTAAAGCTGTGCCCACACCTTTAGCAGCACAGCTGGGACGCCGCCATCTCGGTGTAAAGGCACTCAAATCTTCACCACCACCACGCACGTTCCTAAACCTGCCTCACAAAGCCCCATGCTAAGAAAATCTATTCTAATTTACAGCATCATTAAGGAGCTGCTTTCGATTGAGCCCTTTCAAGGAACATTCCCAGGTCTGCAACACCTCTATTGATCCCTGACTTTGTTATTTTAACAGAAACATAGGAAAGGGAGAAAAAGGCCTTTTCTCCCCAGAAAACCCCTGTCTGGGCTCTGGGCTGTTTGCACACCCCCCTCTGCCATGAAGCTCATGGAAAGAGCTTATTTGTGTGACACTCGTACCCTTGACACGTTCTGGGATGTGTTTGTTTTCACTGCAAACAGCCTCGCTCAGGACAGGACCTCGGTGTCACCCCAGCCCCATCACAGGCTGCACTGGTGCAGAGCGAGCAGGGACACTGAGCAGGGTTACACTGGTTTATCCCAAGAGATCCCAGTTAGGGAAGAGGCTGTTGGGGGGTAGGATGAGCACAGGAATTGCTCTGGGGAGGATCTGTGACAAGGAAAACCCTGTTACACCAAAGAGGGGGGCTGCTACTAGTGCTTGCAAGCAGGAGATGAAAGCCAAGAGGGGAGGAAGTAGGGACAAGCGCTTGTTGCCCAACACTACATGGAGATGGAGCCAGTGGGTGCTCTGTGTGTGTCCCCCAAGGTCACCCCATCTCTGGATCCATGCCCTGCTCATGCTGCCGGGATGGGCAGGAACAACCCTGCTGTGCCCAGTGGCTCCCAGCTCCACAGGGGTTAATTCACCCCTGATTGCAGCATAAATCACCCCAAAGAGTGCCAGGCTGGGGTGATGCTGAGGAAGCCAGGGTGGTGCATCCCAGCTCAGGACTTCATTCCTTGGTCTGAAACACAATGGAATGGCTTGCACGGGCTCGTATCCCTTTGTCCTGACACCCAGCAAACCATTGCTCCCAGCAAACCATCATTCCCAGCAAACCCCATTCCAGCACCACATCCGCAGCAGAAGAGAGTTAATGGTGAGGAGCACAGCAGAGCCTGCTGGCCGTATCCCATCCGCTTCCCCGCTTTCCCTCACGGTTCATCGGAGGGTTCCATAAATACGAAGCAAATACCAAACCCCTGATGGACACAGAAAGCAAATCCAGGACCCCCGTTGGGAGCTGGCTCGTGGTGCTCGCAGGAGGGTGGACTTGAAAAGCAAACTCAGGCTTTATCTATGGGGCTGCTATTAAAGTCACTGCTTTTTTTACCCTTTTTCCTTTGGTTCTGCACCAATCCTGTGCCACCCTGACAAGAGCATCACCGCTTGTTCTGCAAACTGTCAGCAGCTCCTATTGTATGGACAGAGCAGCAGGGTACAGGGTGTGCTGCCCCGCTTCAACATCAGTGATAACAAGGAGCTGGGAGAAGGAGGACTTCCTTATACGCACATAAAATGTGACAAATAAAGTGGACACAACCAGGTCTGAGCCCCTGGAATCTTCTCTTTCCCATAGATTCACCTGCTGGGTGAAGGCAAGCCCAAGCATCCCCCGGGATGGCAGCCCTGGGACAGCAGGCACAGGCAGGCAGTCAGCTGTTGTTCTTACCTGTAACTCCAGGTTTATGAGCAAAGCATAAATCTTGATTAATCCAAAAGCCCTTTTACCCTGGTACCCTGAGCCTTGGTACCCCACTTGCCTGTGTCTGGCCATCCTCCTCCTCCAAGCCAAGGGGATGATGCTCCCATGACCCAGCACATCACCTTTCCATCCCCATGTGAGCTCAGAGGTGATGGGATCTATTGTCAGGAGTGGGATGGCACTATGGGGTGTCTCTGCCTTACCTTGTGCCCCACATCCGACCACCCAAAGAGCACCGGAGACACATCCAAGCCATCAAAGCGCCTGTCCGGGGGAAGGGCCGCCCCAGCCAGAGCCACCAGCGTGGGGAAGATGTCCAGAGCGCTGCGGAAAGAGGGGGCACCATCAGAGCAAGGACCAAAGATCCCCACAGCATCCTCCCAACCCACCCCATGGCACTCAATGCACTGTAGTAAGGGAGTGCTCTGGGGGGAAGCAGCTTCTCAGCACCCATCCCAAGAGCAGAAGAGGTTAAACCCGGCTCCGAGCAGCGCTGGGCCCTGGCAGCACTCACATCACTCACCTCCCGCCCCGCGCCAGCTGCTCGCCAGGTGCTGCGGGTTCAGCCAGGATCTGCTGCTCCCTGTGCCCAGCAAATCCCACACCCACAGGGCAGGAGCAGCCCCTCCTTGTCCCCATATCCCCCCCTGTGTCCCTATGGGACAGCAGTGGGGTCATCCTCCGGAGAAAGCACTGGCACAGGGACTTTTGATGCCAATGGCAGCAGATCCCATGTCCCAGTTAAATGCGCTCGAGCATGCAGTCTCGCTTCTGCACGAGCCGAGGAGGCAGGGTGGGACATGAGAGCGGTGCTGTTCTGTGTGCACCCGTCAGCATTTTCACCTCCCCGGTTCGTCAGGGGCCTCAGTCACAAATCCAGCACTCAGGGCTCAGCATCGGTCGCTTCCCGATATGGAGGGATGCAGGGAAGGAGTGGGTGATGCTGTATCCCTCTGGCTCCAAGGGGATGCAGAGGGACAGTCTCTGCTTTCCCACCTGCTGCGTGTGGCTCTGGGGATGGAGCCTGGATGTGGCAATTCCTCACTATCCTGCACATCCCCATGGCACGGAGGTTGAGCGCAGTCATTGCTGTGGTGGGACAGGATGCTCACAGCCCCCCATGTCCGACCCTCGGCCCCATCCTGCTGTGATGTGCAAGTGTCCATCTCATCACCACCGCATGAGCACATCCCTCCCTCTCATAGACACAGGGTGACTCCACACCTCTAAAGCAAAGCCACACACACCAGGGGTGTCCGATGGGCCAGGGCACATCAGCATGGCCAAGTGCCACATCCCAGCACTGCCATCCCCATGGCAGGGGGATGATGAGCTGGTGCTGAGCATCCAACAGTGATGCAGCCCTAATCCCTCTGCTGAGCATCCAACGGGGACTCAGCCTGTATCCCTTTGGCTGCAAACCCCTCGTGCCAGCAGCTCGGGGAGGGGGGGTGTCTGTTGCTTGCCCCAGTAGCTGGAGGGTGTGAAAGCCCCAGATCCCTCAACTTGGGGACCTCAGGGTGCTGCTGTGGTCCTGCCACTGCATTTGTCCTGCCCGGTGTGCGCTGGTGCCTCCGTGAGCAGAGAGAGGAAAGAACTTGGGATAAGGGCCCCCATTCAATGAGTTTCCATTTAGCTGCTAAGAGACGGAGAGAACAATAAGCACAAACACTGCAGAGCGGCAGCCCCGGTACGGCGCTCGCGGAGCCGAAGGAATTCTGGCTCCCTGCTGGGCCCAAGGCAGGGCACATCCCAGCCAGCACCTCGCCGAGGTCAGCCCAGGGACACCCAAATGACAGACTAGGGCAGGCCATGGTCAGCGTGTGCTGGCCCCAGGGTGCTCAGCACCATCAGCATCTGGCCCTCGGCATGGTGCGTGCGGACCAAGGAGCCTCAACCCATGGGGTGGGACTGCTAGAAACAGAGGTGGGAGAACATAATTACGAGCAATCGTGGGTGAAGATCCCCCTGGCCATGGGCAGATAGAACCAATGGGAAGAGGCATGAAAAAGATCAGATTTTGGTCAAAGTCAGCATCAAACACTCCAGCAGAAGGCACATCCTGAAGCCGTGTGTGCAGGAAGAGGGGAAGCCACGCTGCCAACCCCTGCCCTGGCCAAGAAAGGCTTAAATCTCACTCCGATTCTGCTACAACCCTGAGCATGGAGGGAAAAGGGTTTGGGAGCAGCCAGGGACAGGCAGCTCCCTGCCCACTGCCCGAGGGCTGAGCTGGGATGAGCATCCCTGGCACTAACGCTGCCCTGCCCGGCAGTGAGGAGCTGCAGGCAGCAGCAGGCAGCAGCAGGCAGCTGAACCAGCAGTGCCCACACACATCCCCGCCTGCCCAACCTGCCCAGCCACGCTGGTGCAATTCGCTCCTCCACCACCCCACTGACCTATTTCTTCCATGCCCTACTTTGGGTCGGGACAGGGAAGGGCAGCAGCGCGGCTCCGACAATTAACCGTGATTTCAAAGGGCTGACGAGGCAGTTCCCTGCAGAAACCAGCGTGCAGGTGCAGGTCCAGGGCATTGCATCAGTGCTGGCCCCAGGGCACGCTCACCCGCACTCACCCCTCCGCTCCCTGTACCAAAGCGATGCTGGGAGAGGCACAGCCCTGGCCAGGCGCTTCTCCAGACCCGGTGTCAGCGTTTTCATAACCTCAGGGGCAGAAGGAGGCTCCTGCAGGGAGTTAACGCCTGCCCTAGCCCAGATCCTGCCCTTCCCGAGGGACCCCACCACACAGAGGTCCCTCCTAGCATGCGGAGGTCTCCCAGCTGTGTCTGTGCACTGATTTTATTCCCTTTATCCCAGGTTCTTGGTCTTCCATCAGCTGGAGGGATGAGTCTCCAACCGCCCTATTTCACATGCTTGTTCTTTGAGGGGTGCCTAAGAGCAGAGGAAAGCCACATGCCTTGGCATGCTATGAGCACTGAGCAGTCCCTGCCCTTCACATCCCTCAGACAGTTGGGCTTGTTCAGCCCCAGGGAGACCTTAGAGCAGCTCTGAGTGCCTAAAGGGGCTATAGGAAACCTGGAGAGGGGCTTTGGACAAGGGCCTGTAGGGACAGGCCAAGGGGAATGGCTTTAACCTGCCAGAGGGGAGACCGAGATGAGCTCTGAGGCAGAAGCTCTTCCCTGTGAGGGTGCTGAGGCGCTGGCACAGGGTGCCCAGAGAAGCTGTGGCTGCCCCATCCCTGGCAGTGTTCAAGGCCAGGTTGGACACAGGGGCTTGGAGCAAGCTGCTCTAGTGGAAGGTGTCCCTGCCCGTGGCAAGGGTTGGAGCTGGATGAGCTTTAAGGTCCCTCTAACCCAAACCACTCTGATTCTATGATCCCTCCATGTCCCTCTGCATTCCCTGTCCAAGAATTCAAGCCATGGTTGGGACCACAATGGTGACAACTTTCTGAGCAGGAGCCATCGCTCGTGCTCCCAGGCTGCTTCCCAAACAGGAGCTGGCATCATCTTGCACCACCTGGGCATGGCCCCATGGCAATGCTGTGCCATGGAGGACACTGGGTGCACTGTGACTCCTGGGGAGCTACAGAGCCACTTTCCAAGCACCCAACGTGCAGCACAGCCCGTGCTGCAGCAGGTTTATGGATTCCAGCTGTCCAACCTGCGGGGCTGGAGCTGGGAAATGCAGGAGATAAGGGTGAGGAGATAAAGGGAATGGCTGGGCTTGATGCACGGCTGCAAGAGGCTTTTTGGGACAGGGGATGGGGACAGGCACTGGTTCTGCACTGTCCAAGCGGGTTGGCAGCTCTGCCCCATGTTCCAGAGGTCAATTCACCACCCACCACGGAAGGGTTTGGAGGTGACACCCAATGGGTGCTGTGAGCTCCCCATCCCCTCCACCAGACCTCAGCTTATGATCCAACCTTCCCCCACTTGCAAAACCCCATCTCCCAGAGCTGCCCTCAGGCCATATAAGGAGTAAATGGCTCCAGCTTATCTCATGGACCTTAGAAACACCCAACGGCTCCAGGGGCCACCAGTCAGGACCAGCTCCCAGCAGCTGGAACACTCTTTCCCAACATCCATCAATCCTTGGCCCCACCATCCTGATCTCCACCTTTGCTGCTCCAAGAGCCAAAAGGGCACAAAGCGTCGCCCCACACTGCCTCTAGCTGTGCCCCCCCATTCCCACTGCATTTGCTGCAAGGGAGGGCTGTAAAGAGGGATAGAAGTGCTGCAAGGGAATGATGCAATTGGTGCAGGAAGAGGGGCAAATTGCTGCATGCAGAGGTGCAACACAGCTGCATTAATGGCCCCTCTATGCCATCCATTCCAGGGAGGCCAGGAGCAGGAGGCTGCATCCCTTCCCCTCTGCTCCCATCCCTGCCGCATCCTGCACTGACTGCAAGCTCCATTGCTCCATCCAGCCTTTCCCACAACCGCACCCTCCTCCACATAAAGTCATTCACAAACCACAAAGCCTGAGCCTGCTTCTTGGTGGGGAGAGGGAACATCGTCATCTTTTAATTATCGGGAGGCACTCGGCCACCGTGGCCGGGAGGCACCGGGAGCCCAACGCCAATCCACGGCCGCACAAAAAGCTCTTTCAACTCTTTGCTGAAGCATTAAAGTCTTACAGGCTTGCGAGAGGACAAAAGCACAGAGCCTGGCACAAGGCTGGCAGTAACCAGCACAAGCAGCTGATGCAGCCAAAATCCAGGTCATCACCTAGGTCCCGGTGTGGGGACCTTCCCAATGGGGCTCTTACCTGAGCAGGGCACGGCTCGTCCGCTTGGCAGGGACGTGGCCAGGCCAATACACCAGTGCTGGGACGCGGTGCCCTCCTTCCCAGGTTGTTTGCTTTGCTGAGCTCCCACCTGCAAGAGAAAAGGGCAGCGCTCAGCATCCTGTTACTCAGGAGGTGATGGGAAAACCCAGGAGCTTCCCTGGGAAAGGAGCTACTCTGAGGCAGAGATGGAGTAAATGACCCCAAAGGAGGAAGATTTCGCCGTAGAGGGTGAGGGGAGGGAGAGGAGTTACAGGGTTCTCCCTGTAAATAGGGAAAGGGAAAGGAAAAAGGAATATAAGAAATAGGAATAGGAAATAGGGAAAGGGAAAGGAAAGGGGGCCCGCTTTGGTATGCTTTGTGTTTGTCCAGTAGTGATGAGAAATGCAGCCAACTGACATGGCAGCCACATTTCCATCCACTTCCAGTGTCAGGTGGGAATATGGAGCAGTTTATGCCAGGGGATTCAACAGCTCTTGTAGGTGCCCTCTGTGTGGTAGAGCACCAACAGCCCCCCCAGCCTGCTGGAAACCTGCTTCATTAAAACCACTATCCTGCTGAGGGTTAATCACCCTGTTGTTTCCCCGTCATCACCCAAAACTGCTCTGCCCTTGGGTTTGAGATGTATGGCATGGGGAAGCTGCCCAGTGCTTTCCTCCATTGAGATGCTGAGCAATGAAATGGGGGAACCGAGCAAGAAAACGAGGATGCTGAGCATTGAAATAGGAGTACTGACCACCCAAACTGGTGTAAGGGTGCCAGAGAGCCTCTGCTTTGGCCATAGCCCAAAGGGCCCCAGGCAGTTGCGGGGGGAAGGGGCTGGGAATGGGGCAAACAGAACATCCCAACCCGATTCACGGAGCAAACTTCCCAGGCAGAGCCTTTGTCCTCCCGCCTTTCAGCGTGCACATGGCAACGGCGCGCGCCCAAAGCCATTTCCTCCGGGCAGAGCCAAGAGAGAGGCGACGACGTCCCTTTGCTCCTCTGTGTCCCTGTGCCCATTCCCAGCCTGGCCGGGCCTCCTTAGGAGTCACTGCCTGGTGCTATGGGCACCTGGGCTGATCTCGCACTCCCGCGCTGATGTTCCTAGAGCATCGATGCTGCGGTGCCAGCAGCGCTGGGAATAGTCCAGGGAAAAGCTTCCTGACGCTGCTGCCCGTCCTGCTGCACATCCCAATCTTTCCCATTCCTCACCCAGACTTTAGGTGTTCTAACCCTAATGAACATCTCTTTTGGGCCTGGAGCAGTGGGACACAGCCAGCACCGGGATTTCTTGCGGCTACTGGAAATGTAATAGAGCTTCTAACATGCACCACGTGTGGCTTAAGCGAGTGAGGTGCCTCCCCTGCCTTCAGACACCACAGGAAGTTATAGCAATTACAGCAGTTAATATCAGTCCCCATCTCTGCACGTACATTAAATACCTCATTGCAAGACAGCTGTATTGAAAGCTGAACTGAGCATTCCCGTGCTGGATGAAAGCCCTGGTCCTGGTCCTGCTCCCACAAGTCCTCAGTGCAGGGACACCACGTCTGGACCCTCCCAAACCTGCCTCAAAACACACAGAGCACCACATCCCCCAAAACTTCTCCATTCCGGCACCCCCTTACCTGGCATTTTGTCCCTAAGGTGGGAGATGGGGTTTTGGGATAGGCTGGGGGCTATGGGAACCTTCCCAGCCAGAGCAAGGGGCAGCACACAGGGACGTGCTGCTCTCTCCCAGCTCCAGTGACCATTCGGAATCAATGCAAAACATTCCTGGAATTTGGGTTGGACCCTAAAGGAAACGCCAAGCTATGAGATATGTATAAGCTATGTGGAACGTATAGAATGCAGAGCAGCCCGTCCTCGCCTGCTCTCCAGGGGGCTTTTCCCCTTGGGATGCAGTGACTGAGCATCCCCCAGCACCCAACACGGTGTTGCAGTGTCAGACCCACCAGCAGCAGCACTGACACGGAGCTGGCTTTCAAAACACCCATACAACAGCCAGAGGGACTTCAGAAGCCATCCCTCCCCATTGGTATTTACAGCCAGCTCCAGTGCCCTGCCAGCCACAGCCAAGGGGCTCTCGCAGGGCAGCGAGAGGCTGGAAAAGGGCCATGTTTTCCCAGCTTTGTTCCTGAACGCTGGACTGCTTGTACCATCTGCTCCAGCTTGTGACTGTTGGTTGCTCAAGAGCAACCCAGGTCATCAGCAGGGTTTGTTTACTAAGGAAAAAAAACCCCTAAGGTTAGGATTTCATCCCGGGAACAGCTGAAGGAAAAAGGTTCTGGGAATGGGATCCAGCGCGGCGGCTGCGTCTGCCCAGGGAAGTGGCCACGGCTGCATCGCCTGGGTGTCAGGAAGCGGAGGAGGAAGGAGGCTCCCTCCCCGCTGACCCCGAGCCGAGGGGAACGGAGCCGGGCGCGCGTTTACACTGCGTAACACGAGCAAAAGTGGGAAGCGCCTGACTCATGCGTGCCTCTGGCTGAGACCAGCCCGCTGAGCAGATGGCTTGGCCGGAAGAGGAGGAAAGGCAAGGGGAAAAACTGCATATATATATATATATATATTATATATACATATGAAGTAATAAAATGGTGAAGAGAAAGGAAAGCAAAGGCTGGCGGTACTGGAGGGCAGCCAGGATGGGATGCGGGAAGGGGGCTGAGAGATCCTGGTGCTTGGGCAGTGAGAGCATCCCAGCTCCAAAACCAGCAATCACTCACCTCAAGCTCTGGGTTAACAGGGACTGAAGGGTATGAGCCTCCCTAGAAGCAGTTTTAGGGGAAAACTTGACTACTTGAATGACAAGAACATATATATAAGAATATACATGTGTTGAGGACAATCTGGCATGTCTTCTGGGGTGTCAGTCAGAAGAAGGGCTAGGGGCTGAACTGCTCCTGTATTGGGCAATGAGGGGTTTTGTGGAGCAGCATCCATGTGGACAGGGAGCCCCAGCCACACTGCCAGGTTACCTCTCTGCTGTTGCCAGGCCCCTATGAATGGCCCCAGGCGTCCAGCCAGCTCACACTTCTGTGCCCAAGGGCCATTGTCACCTGCAAGAGAAAGAAGCATCCCTATGAGCAACACCAGGACCAGAGAGGAAACAGCTCTGCAATGGGAATGGGTGAGGACGAGTGACACTCCATCCACTTCCTGTGAGATTTTCCCATGCCATGGGTTCATTTACTTTCCTATCTAGCAGTTCATTCTCAAGAGCCAGGGCTGCCCAAGCCCTAGGTGAGGGGCTGGAGTGGAGCTGGGGCATAGGGAGGGGGGACAGGGTTGCCACCAGCTCTGGGTGTTAATGAGCAGCAGAGCGGTTCCTGTCGTCAGGAGCAGGAGCGAGACATCCTCATTAGGAGCTGCTCAGCCAGAGCGGATTTGGGCTTCTTAATGAATGAGGATTTGTGGTTTAATTAGGCCCAGCCCTGCAGCCCAAGGGGGTGGCGGGATGGGGACCCGGCTGAGTGGCTACAGCATCCCCCTGCAATGCGATGGCCCCAGGCAGGGGACAAACACATCCTGCCCCTGCCACCCAAGCACACACACCCCAGCATTGCCCCCCATCACCGCAGCCCAGTTTCCTGCTGTACCTGTGAACCACAGGAGTGTGTTCCCCTTCCCATGGCTGTCAGCGACCCGCTTTATCCGTCCCACCAGAGCATCCATCTCGCTCAGGGAGGCTCCGTAGATGCCCGAGGCAAAGGGCGAAGGGGGGACCCCCAAAGGGACATGCATATGGGCTAGTGCCAGGTAGAGGAAGAAGGGGCGTCCGCTGTCACTGCATGGGGGAAAAGGGGAGCATGTTCAGATGGGCTGGAGAGGCAGGAGGTCACCAGAGTGGTGGCAATGACAAGCCTGGGGACACAGAGAAGTGGCTCTTCCTCCTGGGAGCACTGCAGCCACCCCAGCCTCTGCTGCAGCTCCCAAGGGGGAAAAGCAAACCCTGTGGGTACCTGCTCCCCTTGCAGTGGGGATGCTTGGCCCAGTGCGAGCATAGACCTCTTAAACCTCTCCCTTGTCTCCCTGTTGCCAACTGTCCTTCCATTTGGAATAGATTCTCCCCTTCCTCCATCTCTGTATCAATCACCAGGCAAATACCCTATGTCGGTGCACCCACCTCCCTCCCCTCTCTCACAGAGTCCATTCTGGCCCTTCCTTCCCCTGCCCAGAAAGCACTTGGCCGCCGCAGTGGTTTCAGCAGAGGATGAGCAGCAGAAGGATGCTCACACCGACCCTGAGCACAGCCCGGGACAGGGAGCGCAGCACGTTCTGCCCTGCTGCCTGTTTGCGTTTCAATCATCCCAGGACATGTCCTGTTTTCTTGTTTACAGCTATATTTATCTCCTCCAACGAGGCCCGCTCTTCCTCAGGGACCTCCGAGGGGAAGGGTGGGATGACGCGCGGCAGGAGGGGCCGGATCCCAGCTCCGGCCGCCCCATCGCTGCCTCCAGAAAGCTTTTGGGGCCCCTCCGACGTGTGCTGTGGCATTTCCTTCCTTTACCCGTCACCCACCTGGGGTGGAAAAAGTAAATCCCATCCTGCTGGAGCCGCTGCATCCTTCCCCAGTGGTGCTGGAGCCCTGTGAAGAGTTGTGTGTCCCCCCACAGCACCATACAGAATGCTGAGGTTCAGGGGATGCTGATGCCCTCTCCTTGCAAATCACTGCTGTCTCCTTTCCATTTCCCATGGGATATGCCATGCCTATTTCCCACGGGATGTGGCATGCCTGTTTCCCAAGGGATGCCAGAGACCCTGGAGCAGGGAAAGCTGCTTCCCTTGGTTCTCATTCCCTTCGGGAGCACCGCTCCAGCATCCAGAGGGACTCACGACTGCTCATTCACCTGAACATCCTGTTTGCTTCCTGCCTCAACGTTTCAGAATTCTCCCTGAATTTAAGCAAACATTTAACTGATAACTCCCAACAAACATCCCTGACTTTTGCTCCCACATCCACTGCACCCTGTGAGTATCCCGAGAGGAGCCAAACCTCATCACCAACATGCACACGACTCGTTAAAATAACACCGAGATGACAAGCCCCGTGTCTTTTGTTGCCCTGTAATGAATGAGTCAGGCAGAGGGAAACTGGAATAAGCCATCAAAGAGACGGAGAGAAAAGGCAGGCACCTGCTTAATCCTGTTCTCCATGAACGCAGATAACCCCCAAATACTGCTGGGAGTTTAAAGGTTGCTCCTATTAACCCGGAGCTCACGCACTTGGTTTCACAGCCTGAGAGCATCCGCCCAACCTGGAGGGATGGAGGTGGAGGTGTGCATGGAAGGAGGGACCACTGGTGCCTGGGTACCCTCCAGCCCTGTTACAGGCACAAATCCTGACTGTGTGGCTGATTCTTGACACCCAAAGGGATGAATTAGAGGTATTGTGTGTGCAAAACAGGACCAAGGCTTATAAGGAGCCATTTCCTTGCCCTGTCCCATTTAAAAAAGCCTTTCCCCAAGCACCCCTGCAGGACCCCAGCCCTGGTCGCTCTCTGGGTCTGTGTTATCCTGGGATGCAGGAGCGGGATAGGCTTGGACATGGCTGCCTGCAAGCTCTGCCCCTCCTGGTGCTGCAGGGAGGCGTTCTGCAAAGTCACAGCTCATAATCCCTGATAATAGGGATTAAAATTACACAACCCATCAGCAGGGCTTCGGGTCCTTGTCTCTGAGAAGAGACACTTTGCTCCTTAGGGAAGGGCTTGTCCGAGCTCATTGTGTCCTTGGGAAAGGCAGATCCTGAAGCACAGAGATCCCAGAGCACTTTACCCTCAAAATGGATTAAACCCCACATATGGGGCAGATTTAAACACCTCTAGTGCTGTTCTGGTCCTGCTGCCATGGGTACACATTCAGTGCCTGCTTCCCTGCCAGCATCCCCCATCCACAGAGGCATCTTCATCACTCAGCAGAAGTCTCCTGCTGCCACCTTGCCCTGTATCACTGAAAGATGGAGGGATGGAGGATGGATGGATGGATGGATGGATGGATGGATGGATGGATGGATGGATGGGCTGAAGCATTTCTATCCCTGCTCACATGGATCTCATTGCACTTTACTCCCAGGAGTACTTTGAGCCCAGCTCAAAGGCTTTGACCTTCCTTGTAAATGGTGGCTTTAAAAACACATCACCCCTTCAGAGGAGGTGCACCAAAAGGCTTCCACGGTGAACTCTGCAGGACACCAGTGACAGCCTCAGTGGCTTCTCCAGCAGGCTGGGAAGCCAAGCCATGGAAAACCCAGATCTGCTCCCAAAGAACCACCGAGCATCACTCATTCCCTGGTATGGCTGGTGACATCTTACCTTGCCCTATGGATGAACCGTGTGGCCTCCTCCGCGTAGCGCTGTGCCAGGCTGCTGAGGTTGACAGGCTGCTGGATGATGGTGGTGTTCTCAAAGAGAGGAAGGGCGACCTCCATGTAACAATCCTTCCTTGCCACCCTGCTGGGAAGAAACCCCTCACACTCATCACTGGGGGAGGGACCAGTGTGGGATCAGGCATGGAGCCTGGATGCTCTCCTGGCTTTACAGAGAGCCAAGGAGGGGACAAGAAAGGGGATGATGCTGCTGTGTGTCCCCATGGCACATGGGACTGACCCACCTCCCTGACCCGCACCCTTCTGTGGGGTGCACAGGGGGTAACTGGGTGCATGGAGCATAAGGGGAGGTGAGCACAGTGGATGCAAACACCCACATCCCAGTGCCAGCACTCAAACCCCCTCGTGTCCCATACCTGGCAATGGAGCCGTGCTGCGGGCAGGGCGGGCAGGGCGGGCGGTTGTAGCCAGGGGTGTCTGTGCAGCCCATGTCGTGGCTATAGGGGATCCCGAAGTAGTAATCAAAGCCTGAGGAGCAAGTGAGGGTGTCAGCGGGGACAACGCGACCACGGGGTGCTCAGCTCATCCTGCTGGCACAGTCCTTACCGCGGAAGCTGGGGTGATGGCGGCCGTGGTGTCCCAGGTGCCATTTGCCTGCAGGAAGCCACAGAACATCACTTCAGGGGTTAACACAGCTACAGCCTTCACCAGCCATCACCCACGAGGTGCCCGCAGCCCTGGGGGCTTTAATCTAGCAACAAGAAAGGCTCCTTGTTTGTGCTGGCTGCGTTTCCAGAATGCCTTCTTTTCTTTGCAGGAGCCCACAAGAAATGCACAAGGTATCTCGTGCCTGTGCAAATCAACTGTTTCCAGCCTTAAAAGACTCTTTCATGTGTTTGTGCTCAGAGGGGATGACTTCCTAACCCTCAAGAACAACCAGCTTCATCCTCTGACCTCCAGCACACACTTACTCCCACTGAATGCACAGATTCAAGAGAGAGAACTGCAAAAACTAGGGGGGAAAGGAGAATCCAAGGGTTTTTCTGCCAGGTACAAAGGGCTTCATGGGCTGAGGGGACCCACAGTGATGGGAGGGTGCCCTAAGCCATGGGGCCACCAGCACCAACCACGCTGGCACTATGCTGCCAATCAGCACCAGCGGCACCACGTGGGATGCAGGATGGAATTGCTGCTGTGCACAGTCATGTTTGCTAAGGAAAACCCAGCGCATTCCTTGTGAGGTGAAGCACTTGGAGCTCCAACCGAGAACTGGGAAGGGCCAGAATTTCAGGTAATGGGTTTGAAAATTAACAACATGATCCTTTAGACTTCCCTGGAATGGCCAGCGTTGCACCTAACTACCTGCAGTCCCTCCTCCACAAGGGATAGACACGAGCATCTTCCTCCCCCTCCTGTCTCCCACCCCAGATGCCCCTCATGACTGGTGTTACCTATGGCCCCCGTGCTGTACCCGGCCCCCTGCAGGACCTCGGCCAGGGTGGTCTCATTCAGGGGGAGGCCACCAACTGACGTGACAGCGAAGTTGTGGGTCACTCCATTGCGTGCGCCAAGGCGTCCAGTGAGCAGCGAGGCGCGGGATGGGGAGCACGTGGATGCAGACGAGTGGAAATCCACGAACCTGGAAAAGGGAAGGACCCTTCATTCACAAGCCCCTGCATGGTTCAACCCTGCCCTGTCCCTCCCTGCTCCCCTGCTTGCATCCCCAGGGATGAAGGTCTGGAGCAGGGGATGATGCTCGCCGGTCCCAGTGGAGATGGATGGACCCATGCTCCCCAAGATACCATGAGGTACCATGGGTACCACTCTGTCGCTGCCCTCCCCATGCACCCAAAACCATGCCAATGAAATCCCTTTGCCTGCCAGTCCCACAGGAGTGAATTCCCCTTTGCTGCTTGACAGGTTAACCAGGGATGCTTGGGAGAGAACCAGGGAGGGGGGACAGACGTTACCTTGTCCCTTCAGCAGCCAACTCATCCAAATGCGGGGTCTCCTTCGTCTCTGCCCAGTTGGCCCCCAGATCCCCCCAGCCCACATCATCTGCCAGGATGACGATGAAGTTGGGCTGCTTGTATGTGGCACAGGGAGCCCAGAGTCCCATCAGTGCCACAGCCAGCACCAGCACTGCCCATGGGGTGCCCATGGTGCCAAACATCACCTGGGGCACCGGTGGCTTTGTCTTCCCCTAAGTCCCTCTGCTGTGTCCCTGTGGATGCAGTTGCCCCACAGGTGCAGGGATGCACACGTCTCCTCCTTGGATGCTTCTATGAGGCCAGGCCAGGGTCTGGAGGTCTGGATTTGATGCCTTGGCTACAGACGGAGCTGCAGCATCTCCTGTGTCTTTCACACCAGCTGATGTTCCTGCAATCGGTGCTAGCAAAGGTGTTATTCTTAGAAGTCAAAACCAGCCTTTGAAGTCACTGTCACCCTATTTTTAACTCCCCTTCCTTCCTGGTAAATATCTAATTAGACACCAAACCCAAGCGGTGTTTCCCCCTCCAGAAGCGCGCCCGATCTGCAGCAGCAGCTCCTCTCCCTGTGTTTGTGTCCCACACACGGCTCTTCCCTGCAGGCTGTGCTCCTCAGTTCATGGAAGCACCGTCTTCTCTTGCTTTAGGTGGATAAGTAACTGCTGTGGCTCTGCTGGTGACTGTCGGTGCATCCTTCCCCTTGCATGGCTGCAGCAGTCCCTGTGCAATAGGAACAAGACCCCATCAGAACCTGCTGGTGCTCCTGTACCCAGCCCAGGGCAGAACTCGGTACCCATATACTGAGACTTTGCCCTTGAAGCTGCACAGCACCACATGGGGACTGCTCAGAACCTTGCCTTCACCTGTAATAACTGACAAGCTCCTGAAGCTCATTCCTTAAGGCTGGCAAAGGAAATTATCCCCAGGTTTCTCTGCCCACATCGCTGAAAGCTCTGTGCTGTCACTCAGATCAGCGGCTTCAGGACTGTCAGTGTAACACTGCAGTGATCAGGATGTGGCTCCACTCATAATTCATATCCCAGAGCATCAGTTTATAAACTCCCATCCGAGGGCCTTGAAGCTCTGGGTACATTGACTAACAGGGGTGGGATGGGGTGGGATTCTCTATGCAGAATCATGCTGGACCCCATCCCATGACAGGGACCCCATCAGCACCTGCAGCCACGCACAGAAAACAAGAAAAACCCAAGGGAGCTGAACCCACGTTCACTCACAAACCTCTGCCCTTTCCCTTTCCATTGGAGAGGAGCTCCAGGATGACCTCCTAATAAAAACAACCAAAACCATCTGCAAAGGACACTCTCTTCTCTCTAAATTACATTGAAAGTCATCCAGGGCTGAAATTTATGCATTAGCATCAGACAAAACTCCTTGATCTCTGACGCTCAGAGGCCATTTGAAGGGAACACGGCCCCTGGAAAGCGGGACGTGCTGGTACAGCTCTTGCTGTGTTCCTGCAGAACCCTCCTCATGCACAGCATGTCCAAACCCAGCAGAGCTTGAGGGCTGGCATCAACTGCAGGGTGCTCCCTTCTAACTCCTTGGCAGAGGCACCACTCTGACCCTTCCCATCTCCTGGACGAGACCAGGCTGTGCCAGCTCAGTTGTTGGGAACATCCCTGGAATAAGCCCCAGTGTCCGTCACCACCACACCAGCATCTCTGCTCCCCCATACCTTTGTAAATGCAGCTCTGATCCACCACCTCTGCAAAGAGAACAAGTGACTCAGAAGAGATTTCCCCAGGCAGACTACGGATGGAACACGGGTATTGCGGCACCTCACTTGGTGCCAAGCAGGAAACACTGCACCGGTGCTGATGCTCCCTGGGCAGAATCCCAGCCAGGAACCAAGGCAAAAGCCTTGGAAAACCGGCCCTGGGCTGCAAGCACCGGCATCGCTCCGGCTGGGCACTGTGAACTTGGGTTTCATAGCATCGGGGAGGAATGAAACCAAACCTAAACAAATAACACAAAGCGCATTTCTGCAAGGCAAACAAGGTGCTTCACAGACGGACAAGGATAAGTCAGAACCAGATAAACCAGTTTAGACAAGTCCCAAAGCCTGCTCAGGCTGGCCGCAGGGCTGAGGATGGGAGATGCCTCCTCGCTCCGGGATGCCACCGGCTGTACCACCATGGAGCGGCCACCCTGCACTGGGAGTATCTGTCATGTATTCATTACACATTAACCAGAAGTTTACAAATCTTGGGGCCAGCCTGATCATTTTCACATTTTCCACATTCTTTCACATTTTCACGCCTGCCTGGCAAGCAAAGCAGCAGCAGAGCACAGGAGAACCTGATGACTTTTGAAGCACACCCGGTCCCCCACCAGCACCCGGGGTGTCCCAGCTCTGATCTCCAGCCCAAAGCCGCTCCAGCAGCCCTGTTCTCCCGCCAGAAGCCCAGCAGGCATCCCCTATCCCTGCTGAGAGATAAGGACACAGCAGGGGATGAGGAATTCAAACTGCAGACACCCACTGTTATCCCAGGATCACTTTGGGGGCTCCCAGTGTTGCCTCTTGTGCAGGGAAACTAAGGCAGGAAGCAGGAGCAATGGCTCAAGCTGACCCCATGGCTGCCAAGCGATACAGGATGGGGACATCTCCCCATGGTGTGGCTGATGGTGCTGACCCCAACCCCACCATGGGATGCCCAGCCTGGAGGGGATGGATGGAGGCACATCCAGGCTTTTAGAGGGTATAAAACACAACCTATGTTTTGTGTTCCCATTGACCACATACATACACATTCTGTTTCTGATTCCAGCACAGTAAAAGGCAGCAGGTGCCTTGTGAAGGGTGTGTTGACGGGGGCAGAGGAGCCACGAGCTCTGTTTCTGCCCCATTAGGCCCCCCTCATGTTTACCAGCAAAGCTCTGTTCCCGGTACAACCGTCCTGACAATGCCCTGAGCACAGTCAAGACTTCATTCCAGGAAAAGGTTTTTCGACTGGAATAGTTTGTGCGAGGGTAAAGCAGCCCGGACAAAAACACCCTTCTGCAGACGGAGCAGGACTCCTGCCAGCCCCGAGACAGGGGAATGTTTTTCACCCATCTTGCTGCTCCTGCAGAGAAAACATGACACATGCGAGCAGGGCTGGGCGAACCCGGCACGACAAATGAACTGGAAGTCCCTGAGCCATCCGGCAGCAGCAGCAGCACGCAGGGGCCCGCGCTCCCTTTGCTGCTCGCAGCCCGCCCTGTTTTCCAGTTCCAAGCTGATTTATGCCCACTAAGAGGACGTTTTCTCTGCTTCGTTCTGGTTTACAGAGCACTCATGCGCTGGGTGCAGCAGCCCCGGGATGAAGAAGCATGTCCCGGTGCGAGCCGCTGCCACAAGGGACCCATAATGGGTGCTCTGGCTGAGCCACAGCCAAACCCTCCACAAACCCAAGCTGCAGCAGGAGAAATCCCCCCCCAGAATGAGCAAACAAGATGGGAAAAGGGGATTTTACAGCAGAGCTGGGAAGCCCTGGGTTGGAGAGGCTGCAGCTTCCAGCTCTGTCCCTCCCATGGGGCCCCTGTTGCTTCCTAAAGCCTTATTGCACTTGGAAAGCCCAAAGGGAAGGAATGAGAAGGTGAAGCAGAGACAGATGCGAAGTCCTGACAAGAAATACCAAGGAGTAAATCGCTTCTGTTTGTTCATGCCACAGATATTTGCATTCTTATTTCTCCCCTGGAGGCACAAACCTCTTTTGTTGTCCCACAACCACTTGCACTGTCCCTGCCAGGAAGAATTACAGCTTGGGGAGGGCGACCCATTCCCTTATATAACGGGGTATTGGTTCCTGGAGGCCAGGCAAGGTGCTTGTCCTTCATCTGCAGCCCTGAAAGGCATAACCCATGGGCGGATGGGGTTTCCTGCAGGATGGGGCGATAGGAGGCTCCCTAAAGGCGCAGTGTCCATTGCTCCCCATGGATTTAAGCTGGTTTAGGATGGGACTGCAAGGGGTGAAGCTGCTGAAACCTCGCTGCGAGGATGAGGGAGGCAGTGGCCGCTGGACCAGCTTTGCTATGAGGAAGCTCCCAAGATAAGAGCAAAAGCCGTCAGTGACTTGTCAGCAGTCTGCAGTTCTGTGCCTACTGCCCTCACCTGCGCTGCCACACCAGCACTTGCACCGTGACAAAGAAGGAAACCAAGAGAAGGGCCTTGTGCCAAATCAAACACAGCAGCCCTGTATAGGCGAGGCATCAAAGAACAGTTTAACCTGGGTAGTTTATCCAGGGATATAAACCAGAACCCTCCGGTTCCGCTTTAACCCAGCAAAGGGCAGGGATGTTCCGGGAGCCCTCTGATATGACCTGTGGGCTCCCAAACCTCGCTGGCATCATCCACCCATGCTCAGCACATTGAGGCCAGCACTGGGATGCAGCCATAGCAGTGAGCTAGGAAACAGCACTGCTCATTTTTTCCTCTTATTTGCTGATTCCAGGGGAATTTAGGGGAAACCCTAAACACTCACTGCTTTAGTCCCAGCCCCTGTACAGGGCACTGGATCCCTGTCCTGTGCTCTCCATGCCACATGTCTGCCCCAACACTTCCTTCCTCCCCATCCATATAGGCGCTGAGTCGCCTGCTTCCAGTTTGAACCATAAATTAGGCTTCTTATACAAGGGACATGTTTTCCCCTAAAAACTCAACATGTGCTGCTCATGATACCAGAGACTGGATGTTACAAGCTCGGAACTGGCACTCAGGACCTCACCGTGTGCTCAGCCCCATCCCATCAGCTCCCATCCCATCCCAGCACCTTGCACAGCAAACAGGATGGCATCTGACTGCTTTGTTGTGAGCCTGGGATGCTCCTGGCACTGCATCCCTTGTGGGCGCACAGATCACAGCCATGCTGCCCAAAGGGGATAGATAGTGCAGACATATTCCTTGCAGCCCAGCTTGCACAATCTCATCCCTTATCCCTTTCCCACTGGGAGATGGAGGCCTTTTCTGCCTTTGGAATAATCCCCCCACAGAAGTGCCAGATAAGATCCGTTTGCACAGGCTGCTGGGACATCCAGCCTAGGTTATGCTTTGCCTAGAAAGCTTGGACCAGCTGATCTCTGAGGTCCTTTCCTTCCCACCTGCAATTCCACGCTCCCGCAAACAAAAGCCTCCAAACTTCAGCACCAAAACGGAGCGACTCCGAAATCCCAACCCGGGGCTGCGGGGGCGGCGGGTCGGGAACCGCCATGGGGGGGACCCAAACCCGCACATCAGGACCGCGCTCCCCCCACCCCGCTTGTGACGCTCCCGCTGTGCCCCGAACCGGCGGAGCCCCGCAGCGCCCGGGACAGGCGGGGGGGGACCGGGACCGGTGCCGCTGGGGCAGGTGCCGGGTGTCCGTGCCCGTGCGGGGCGGGCCGGGGGGGGGCCGGTCCGTTCCCCGCCGCCAGCACCGCCCCTCGGCCGCACACGCGGTGCCGGCGCCGCCGCTGGGGCGATCCGGGCCCGGCGCGCACATGGCGCTGCGGAGCCGCCGGCGGAGACCGGCTCCAGCCGGTATATAAGGGCTGGGAGCGAGCGCAGAGCAGCCGCCGCCGCGGGCAGCGGGAGCAACAGCGGCCGCAGGCCGGCGGGCAGCGGGGTCGCCTCCTCTCGCCGCCCGCCCGCCCGGGCCATGGGCAGCCCCTAACCCCGCCGCAGCACCCAGCGCCGCCGGTGAGTGGGGTCCCGCCGGGGGCCTCCGGGGAGGGAGGCGGGGTGGGGGGGGCTTTGTCTGCCTGCATTAACAAATAGGCTTTTTTATTACCTTTTCCACCTCCCTTTTTGCTTTTCTCCCTTCTCCCCACCTCCCGTTTCCCGCATCCCTTTATTTTTAGCCGGCGGCCCCGAGCAGCCGGTGCGGCGGTGGCGATGCAGAAATCAGGTCTGAAATGTTCGGAAAGTGATGCAGGGAAGGAAGGGGGGGCGGCGCGCCGGGCCCCTCCGCGCTGGGTTTTCCATCTCTAATTTCTTTCCCCATTCTATTTTCTGTTAATCCCTAAATGTACATGGTTTGTGTGAGGTTTGTGGTGGGGTTTTTTCTTCTCTGCTTTAAACACCGTGCTTCCTCCTACCCGAGCCTCCCCCCGTTCCCCGTGCAGTGACACAGGCATTCGCTGCAGCCCCGCTGCCTCCCCCGGGGGGCACCCAGGCACTTCCCACAAACTTCGGGCGCACACCGGTGGTCCTCCCGGTGTCGTGTGTGTCGTCCCCCCCCCCCTTTCCTCCTTAACCCAAGCACCAGAGCCGGGGCAGCGGCGGGATGCTGGAGCTCACGCCTCGCTCCATCCCGCACCGGTACCCCGCCACGGGCACCGTGCACCAGCTTGAACCCGCTGGGTGCTGAGACCCCCTCCCCGGCTCCACTTAGGGGACCCCTTCGGGTGGGTCCCTACGCTCCCGTGGGGCCCCTCTCGGGTGGGTGCCTATGGGGACGCGCTCGCACTCGCCTGTTCCGCGGCGAGAAGTTGCCCCGTGGGATGCAGCGCTGCTTGAGCCGCACGGACACAAAGTGCCGATGATCCGGAGTATAAAATGGAGGAGGGAAATGCCTGGTGCCTGCTGGGGCGGGGGACACGCAGGAGCCGCAGGTCCACGCGTGGCCGGGGACGGAGCTCACGATGCTCCCCTCCCACCCCAGGGAGCCAGCGCGGCCGCTTGACCCCGGCTCTGTCCCTGTGTCCCACCCGCAGGGGCGGGGGTGCAGTGCAGAATGGGATGAGGGCATAGGATGCCCTCATCCATGGTCACAAGTGATGCGGAGCAGCACTGCAGAGATCCCCATGTCCCACCGGGTGAGCCCCTCCAGCCCTTAGTGCATCCCCTTGCTCCTGCTCTTGGGGGTCCAGTGACCCCAAGGGCTGAAGGGGACAGCACAGGGAGCTGGTGGCCGAGGAGGTGTTCACACCCCTGTTGTGAGGTTACAGCACTGTGGGGAGCTGGGGATTGGCAGCTCCAGAGCTGCCACAGCAACTGAGGGTACCCCAATACCATGAGCAGCATCTCGGTGGGTGCAGGATGCTGCAGGGTATGATGGTGGGTTATGTCACTGACCAACCCCATGGCAAACGGGTGCTATCGGGGTGTCACCATCCATCCCAGGCCAGGCACAGGGTGCAGTGGGGAGGACGGGTGCTCCTAGCGAGCTCCTGCAGCTCCACCAGCCCACGCTGGGTCCCGTGGTGGATCTTTCATGAACTGCATCCACCCACCCCCATGCACTGAAGTACAGACGACAGCCCCCGGGTGCTGGGATTTGCTGATGGGAACAGCTCGGCAGGGTGCTGAGCAGCGTTTCTGGTCCTGGGCTCGAAAGGCACTGGCGAAAACGAGCCTATGGGGTGACAAAGGCTGAAACTTCACCCCAACTCCTGCATTTAATCCCTTGGCAGCACAGGGACCCGCCTTAGGGATGTCACAGCTGCTAGGCCGTGCCTCTTCCAGCAAAATCCATCTTAAAACTGATGCCTGACTCTTTCTCCCCTCTTTTCCAGATCAAAAATGACTGTCAAAGCTGTAAAAATGGGGTGCACGGCCCCAAATGTCTATTCTAAAGTGCCTGACGGAGGATGGGGTTGGACAGTTGCTTTTGCTTTCTTCTTTGTGGAAGCTCTCACGTACGGCATTATAAAATCATTCGGCGTCTTCTTTAACGACCTGATGGAAAGCTTTGACGAAACCAACAGCAGGATATCCTGGATAATATCCATCTGTGTGTTTGTGCAGACCTTCACAGGTAAGAGTGGCAGGCATCCAGCACGGGTGCAAGGGGCAGCTGTAGTGCTGACTCATCAGACAAGGACCTGGTACCGGTGACTTTAGTGTCTCTAATGGCTCTGTTATAAATAACAGCCATAAAGTACGGAGCTTTGTGCTCCTGGAATAACAAGAAATGTCTGCCTCAGCCCAGCCATACCTTTGAGCCCCAACTCGTCCTTCTGCATGATACAGGGACATGGTCCATGTTGCTGAGCCTGGCGTGGCCATTCAGCAAGGGGTAAAAACAAGAGCTTTAAGACCTAACTCCATAGTGAAAAAGGGTTGGAAATACCTTAAGCCTCACTGAAATCCACTGCTGTCTGTGGATGTTGCTGCAGGTTTGTCCCCTGCACCCTTTCTAGTCTTTGCTGATCATTTATCAGCACATCTGAACACTGTGCGGTGCTCGAGGGATGGCTCCAGGGTGATGCTCTGCTCTGTGAGGCCAGCTAGCAGGGGAGGTGGCATGTCATGGAGATGTGGGCAGGGGTATGAGCAGATTGTAGCTGAGGTTGCTGATGGGTGCTGACCATGTCTCTTTTCCTCTCCTTCCATCCAGCTCCTCTGTCAACGGTCCTCAGCAATCGCTTCGGTCACCGCTTGGTGGTGATGGCCGGGGGGGTTCTGATCAGCACTGGCATGGTCATTGCCTCCTTCGCCCGCTCTGTTGTGGACATGTACATCACCATCGGCGTCATCTCTGGTGAGTTGTCCTATTCCTGCACCTCCGAACCCTTCACTCTCCTCTGGCTTCCTGCAAAGTGTAGCTCTGGCCATAGAGGGGTTCTACTTCCCACAGCATGGGGAGTGCTGACCCTCCTGAGCTGCTCTTAATCTCCTGTCCAAGGTGATGACCTGGGCTCAAGGCTTGGTCTTGTACCCAGTCTCACTCTGGGGACCACCTTGGGACTCAGTCCTGCACCTGTACCGATTGCTTGTGCTTGACCGGGGAGATGAACGCTGTTCATGGGGTCAAATCCTCCAACCTCTCCTTTGATTCTGTGTCTTTCCTGATACTTTTCCCCTTCTCCAGTCTATCCTGGGTGTCCTGCTCACATCTGTGGCCAGGAGCTTGCCTCGCTTAGGGGATCAATTACTCTTTAGGCAGATGAGGTCCTCCAAATGGACCCCGCTGGCTGTTTGGGAACAGAAGGCATGAGCTGGGCGGTTGGGTCTCTTGTTTTGCTTTTCCTTTCTTCTTCTTTTTTCTTTCCCCCCTATCCAGTTTAAAAGAAAATAACATTGTGGTTTCCCCAATGATTTTCTTCCAGGGTGACTTGCTGAGTTGGCCGAAATGATACTGTAATCTCGCCACTGGGAAAGCTGACTTAACGTGTTCTTGCATCGGTGTTTCCCCCCTCCCTTACTTGTTGTTATGGCAATTTTTGGCATTTATTCACAGGCCTCGGATACTGCCTCTCTTTCCTCCCGACTGTCACCATTTTATCACAGTATTTTGACAAAAGGCGTTCGCTGGTCACAGCGGTGGCATCCACAGGGGAATGTTTCGCTGTCTTCTCCTTTGCACCAGGTACAGTGCCTAAATGCTGCGTGTCCATGCCTAAAGCCCAGTGCTGCTCCAATCCTTTTCCCAAGCAAATAGAAGCCAATTGAGACCAACTTGGTGCTCATGCGCTGCTAAAGTCCACAGGTGGTTGCTCACATGCCCTGCAAACAGGGCTACAAGTAATCCTAGAGACTGGTCTCACCATGCCCAAGCCCCCCCAGCACGACGTGTGCCAGAGCAGGATGTGCCTTGCTGATACACAGCCTGCCCGGTTCCCTATATAGATCTAGCAGGCTAAAAATAAGACCGAGAAACTTCAGCTATTTAAAACATACACAGTACACATAACTGTTCCTAAAGGTTAGTGAGCCTCTGCTCAGCATGAGCTGCTCCAGCCTTCTGGGGACCTGTGCCCAGGCACCATGTCCCTGTCTCTGCAGTTCAGGTGGTCCTCTCCTGCGCACGCTTCCATTCAGCTAATAACCACTGTAAAGCTGCCCTGATTGCAGATGAAGGCTTGTGATTATGCAGTAACACACACCTTTGAGTAGAGCTAAGAGACTTCCTCTAGTAGCTGGTTTCAGGGTGGGGTCAGTGAGAGAGGAAACTTTACTGCTGAGTTTGCTCTCATTCACTAAAAATAACACCACCTTCGTCCTTGCGCATCCCAAACTCACAGGGACCTCACAAGTGGTTACCTAGAGGGTGGCTTCTGCTAGCCAGATGTTAGAGGTGGTTTCTGGCTCTTTGCTGCAGCTGATGGGAGGAACATGGGTGCCAGACCCCTGGGTGGCCCTGGGCAGGATGGACCAGGAGGGACCCTGCTCAGCCTCCATGAGAGCTGAGGTCCTGGGGACAATCTGGTGATGAAGCTCCAGTTCAAATAGCTCCTTGGTGTAACTCCATGTTCTTCTACTTACACTTTCTTCTTCTTCTGCCCTCTTTCCTCAGCAATTACTGCTCTGAAGGAGCAGATAGGCTGGAGATACAGCCTCCTTTCTGTCGGGGTGCTGCAGCTGAGCATCGTCGTCTGCGGGTCGCTCCTGCGACCCATCATCATCCAAGAGCAAGAAGAAGTGAAAGCGCAGCCTCCAGAAGAGCCCACGGAGACCAAGTACATGCTTGAAAACGAGCAAACACGCACCTCAATAGAGTCCATAGACTCAGGAGTCGAAATAACTACCTCACCCAGCAATGTGCCTGGAAAAACCAAAGCAGAGCCGAAAAGTGAAGAACCAAAGGAACACGTGCAGATACTTGCTGAAAATAACAGCACCCCTCCAGAACCAAAAACCAAACTACTGGACTTTTCTGTGATGAGAGACTATAGCTTTATCTGTTATGCATTCTTTGGCCTGTTTGCTACCCTGGGCTTCTTTGCTCCTTCCCTCTACATCATTCCCTTGAGTCTCAGCCTTGGCATCGGCAAAGACCACTCTGCATACATACTGTCGGCCATGGCGATTGCAGAGGTCTTTGGAAGAATCTCAGCGGGCTGGGTCCTCAACAAGAAGCCCATCCGCAAGATCTACATCGAACTCATCTGCGTTGTCCTGCTGTCTGTAGCGTTGTTTGCCTTCCCTTTTGCCTCCGAATTCTGGGGCTTGATGACATGTAGCATATTCTTCGGGTTCATGCTCGGAACGGTAGCGGGCACGCATATTCCCCTCCTGGCAGAAGACGACGTGGTTGGCATCGAGAAGATGTCCTCTGCGGCTGGTGTCTATGTCTTCATTCAAAGCTTAGCTGGGTTGGCTGGACCACCCCTTGCAGGTAACTCTAAAACTCATGTTAATTTGGGGTTTGGGGTGTGTTTTTTGGCATGCTGTTGGTGCTGATCTGTCTAGAAAGTGTTCTGGCAGCGCTAATCATAGTACTCGCCTAAAAGCCCTGCAACTAGTATTAGGAGACTCTCAGAGCCAGAAGACTACTGCAATGCAGCTCTGCAGAGTCCCACAGATGAGGCGGTCTCCACCGAGGAACCTCGGAGTGAAGGAAAATACTGCAGTGCTCCCCTGATCCTGCTGGAAAACTAAACCTGGCATCACTTCAGGCTCTAGAGAGTGGCAGAAACGAATCTCTTCCACTGTGCATGTGTTTCTGCCATAGACTGCAGAAAGGTGAAGTCTCTGGCATAATAAATAGATGCATTTCATGCCCAGAGGCTTCTGACTTGCCTGAAGATGACACTATGCACCCCTGAACACTGTGTTTTACTTCTTTTAAGGTAGCATCTGTTTGTCATAGAGTAGCATTGATTGCAGATAAAATGATGCAGTGGTACCCAGATTAAAGTGGTACCCAGATTAAAAACCCTGTGGGAAGCATGGATGGGCATGGGAGAGGGGAGTCACCTGTAGCTAACTGCTGTCAATGTGTCTCTATAGGTGTCATAGTGGATACAACACAGAACTACAGCTCAGCCTTTTACTCCTGTGCTGCTGGCATGGTCCTGGGCGCCGTGTTCCTGTCCCTGGTGAGACCGTGCAAGGTTGGGCTGTGCCACTGCTCACAGCGGGGCGCGGAGGAGAGCGCGGTGGGGGCTGCTCCAGACTTACCCGATGACTTTATAGACATGGATATTGGAAGAGGTGAAAATTCGGGAAAAGGTGAAAATTCAGGAAAAGGGGAAAATTCAGGAAAAGGTGAAAATTCAGGAAAAGGCTCTGACAGCGTGGTCTAAACACACACCCCCCACCCCCGTTCCTTCTCCATCTAAATCTACCCGGCGCAAGACTGGGGAAGATGTCAGCTCTGCTCCACGTTTTAAAGCTCCATTCTAAAGGGAATGTGAAATTTTAAATGTGAACAGTTGCTACCAACAACTTCTTATTTTATTTTTTTTTAATGATTAGGAAGAACTTTTTTAACCAACAATGGAAAGCTCCATAGAAAATACTGATAGCCACATCCAATAACTTGTGTCTAGCATGAAGATGTGATGCACACTCCTGCTTTCCTGATAACAAGCATAGGTAAAGGTTCAACTGACCCCAGAGAAACTGAGAACAACAGCAGAAGCAGCTCAGCCTCTGACTGTCCTCAACCATCCCCTAACACAGATTCCAAGCAAATATGACACCTATGGCATGAACTGGAGACAAGCATTTCATACACCACCAATAGCCAAGTCAATCTTCTTGTAGAAGAATGAGGACTCATGTTTTAGGTTGGAGGAGGCTAGGCTAGAGAGCTGACCTAGTAGAAACCATTGTTAATGTTCTTAACTTGAACGTCACAAATGCTGGGAAATCAGAGGCTCCGTATGTCTTTATGGCCAGTTATTACTGCACATCTTAATCACAAGATAATTTTTCTTCTCCTGATTGGTATCCTTAGAACTGTTTTTTTTTCTGTTGATAGTCAGCTCTGATGTACTGTTTCTAATTTAATTAGTATTTATTAATTTATTCTAAGATTGCTAAAGGAGGTTAGCTTAAATAAGGGGAGAGGAAAAATCATCTTCTGCAGATCGGAAAGCTGTCTTTACATCACCCTCTTCAACACCTATCTTGTATTGCTAGCTTGTGAAATTGTTAGGAACCTTACAGCATAGAGTGTAGCTGTTTTGAATAGGTAGGCCTTAGGTAACCCAGTTGTTATTTAGAAAGGAAAAAAAAACCCAATAATAAACCGCAGATCCAGCATCTCTTTCCGTCAGGCCCCGGCTGGTGTCACTGGACCTAGCTCTGCTGCTGTCACCAGCCCACCCCACAGGGAGGGTTGGGCTCAGTATGTCTTAATGTACCCAAAACCTTCGCTTACACGTGCACAAGGAACTCTCTGCCTCATCACACATGAATGTGGAACATCCCCTTGATACCCAGCCCCTGGCAGTCTGCTCCCCACATTGCCAGCCATGGGGCATGTACCCCCTGCTCCCCAAAGTTAGCAGGATCCCTTTTTTTGCTCCAGTAAAATGAACCAGAGTCTGTGCACACAGAAGGCATGAGCGGAATAGTAAAAGACAACATCCTAGCTCTTCATTTAGTCTTAATGGGAGAGATTCCTACTCATGGTGACACAAGCTTGCTTACCCCACCTATATGCATCTTAACGCCTCTTAAGCAACTCAGGGGGACAAATAAAACAAGTCTGGTTTGGTTTGGAAGGCAAACCAAACCAACATCTCTGTGTATTTCAGTGGAAGTGGCATCATGCATTAACTGCTACGCTGACCTGTCTGTGTTTTACCAGCCATAGAAATGGGGGACAATCTGTTAAAAAAAGATTCAAAAAAAGATTAAAAAAAAAAAAACAGGAATCTCACCCCCTCTTTTTGGGAAGGTGCTTGATGTGTTTTTTGTGTCTTAGATGTCCCAAAACCCAAGAAACAGGCACTCTTGCAACCAAGTGGCTAGAGCAATCCATCCTCACTGCCCGAGACCTGCGGTCTCGCATCCTTCCTCTGCCTCAGCACTTTATCACGGCCAGCAGAACCTCGCTGCGATGCACCCAGGACTGGAAGACCCCTTACAGAGAACTGAGAGTTTTGTGAATCAGCGAGTAAATGAACAAGTCACAACCGTCGCATTAAGATGTACTTTTTATTTATTGTTAATTTATGATGACTTCAAGCATTTTGGTAAATGTTCTGTAGACTCTTAATTGTGAGATTATGGAAGTCTTTTGTGATACGAGACCTCACTACAGCACTTTGCTATTACACCTCTGCTTGGAAGTGGAACAAGGCCTCCAGGTTTTGTGTGTGTGTGGATGCTCCCCGTTCGGCAGATTGGCGAGGTTCTACTGTAATGTTCTCTTTGTTTTCTACAACCGTTTCCAATACAGATCAAATGATACGTCTGTCACTGACCTCACGTTTCTGTTCCTGTCTGTGTAGCGGCACGAGCAGGGGAGCGTGTGAGTATGTGTGTGTGCGGGCACAGAAGACCCAGAAGCAGGCTTTAATGCGTTCAAAGCAGGACTTACTGATGTGTTTGTAACCTAGTGGACTCTGGAACTATTCTAAAACACTGAGTTTTGCAATAAACTTGTTCTTTTTTTTTTTTTTTCCTTTTCCTTTTTTTTTTTTTTTAATAAAGAAAATGAAGAAACTTTCCTGCTTTCCTCCTCTCCATCCCTAGCACAAGGCCTGGCAGCATGGCCATCACATGCCATTTCCTCAGCCTGCAGCAGCCTGTTTGCCCTGTGAATTGGGCAATCCTGTGTTCTAAAGAAGATCAGGGCTGACCTCGAGGGTGCTCTTGTAAAGCCCTTACCCGGGGAGCCCTGATTAGAAGGAGCCTTTTCTCCTCCTGGATTGGTGGCACTGGGGAGCGTTACCCTCGTGCCTTCGAGAAGCACGCAATCATGTCATTATTTTATCATCTCTCAATTGCAGCATACTTTCTCCATGCCAGGCTGGGCAGCTCATGTAGCACAAATTAAGCCACTAAATACCAGGATAGTTGCACTAAAAGGCAATTTTCTTTCCCTCAAGCCTTACTTCTTTTTTAGCCAGATGAAACACACCCTTTCCCCCTTAGCCCCTAACTCTCACATCACCAAACCCTATCAGGAGTAGCTGCCACCCTTAATTCCGACTATCAGTACTTCTATTTACAAAGGAACTACTTACTGAAGAAATCATCATGCCAATGATACACATTAAGTGCAATCTGTTTTCATTCCGGTTGCAAAAGTCCTAGAGCAGAGGTGATCATCCCGCATGCAGACCTAATGCAAATACCAAAGTCCTGGGAAGCTAATCTGCCTCCATGTTTTACTCTGGCTCGATTACAGCAGTGAACAAACACTGTTTCCAACAGCTTCCTCAAAAACAACCCCTTCAAAAGGCATTACAAGGGCTGAACAGAACTCACTTAAATAAAAGCACATCAAACTGTAGCCCTTTCAGTTGTCTCCTTACACAGATTGGAGTAATTTTCCCCACCTGGTTTAAGTTAATTGCCCACATCCTCCTCTGGCACAAAGGCTTTAAGGGCAGAATAACAGGATAAGCCCCATTTTATTCAGCAGCATTCCGTATGTACTTTGCAGCAGTAAATAAGAGGACAGCACGGGCAGAACAGCAAGCGTCAGGATAAAAGGGGTTGTACAAACTCTTGCAGTCAATGAGGCCAGTGCCAGCCAAATGTAAATAAAGGAAATTACACAAGGTCAGCTTGCAGGAGGACAAAAAGCTCCGACTGTAGGTATGGGGAGCAGAAAGGAAGCTGTCCAGGGGCATTGTTTGTTGCTTTGGGGGTCTTCAAAAGCAACAAAGCCATTTTTCCAGTTGAAATTCAAAGGAAGGGCAACCCCTTCTGCTTCTTCACTTGCTTTAGATAAGCTGACACCAGGTACTTAAAGGGACAAATGAAGGTTTAAAAATAGCTGAACTGCCTTTGGAATGAAAGTGAAGTAGGTGCTTACAAAACAGCTCCGATGTTTTAATGCTTCCCTTCAGATGTTACTTGTTAGCATCTGAGATCATCATGTTCCAGCTGCCCGTAGTAAACATGACCTGGATTTTCAGTGATGCAAGCCCAAGCTGCAGCTTTCCTTCCTCCCTCTCTGGACCACATCTTAAAGATGCCCCATAGATTGGGTTAAAGATCCCTTTAACTCCTGGCTTGGTTTGAAGGCAGAGAGAGAAAGCACTGCTGCCAGAGGAGCTATGTTGTACTTGGTGTCCACACTAAGAGACAGGACCCCTGGTTCCCAATTGGATACACCACCGGCAGCACAGGGAAAGGCTCCCAAGCATCCCAAGATGCCATCAGTCCAAGAAGCTGTAGATATGTCCGTAGACACGACGCACGTGTGTTTCCCACTGATCCAGGAGACCTCTGGGAATCCTGGCAGCAAATCACAGTTTTCCCCTCCCTGTTTTCACTCACACGGACTTTTACTTGCAGGGTTTGCACATCTGTGGCTGCACCAGCATAAAGCGAATTGCAGCAATCCATGTCATAAATCAAATGCAATCCCCCTCCCTCCTTCCTACTGCAGTTGTCAAGCTCCAGTTACAACAATTTGTGGTAAAGTATTACTCACCAGCACTTTGGCCCGTGTGAGCAGCTCTGACTCTGTAAAGACAGCCCCTTAAATCACTACTTTGTCACAGAAGCCACAAGCATAACCAAAAGACTTATTACACGCAGACATTATGAGAATAAGGCCGGGGAGACAATAGTTCCCCTCGCTTCCTTTTTGTCAAAGCTTTCATTAATGTTGTGAATGTCTTTTTCTACTTTACCCGCTGCCAGCTGCTTGCCACAGCCAGCCTGTGGCAGAGGAACACCCCAAAGAGCAGCAAAACAGAGCTGAGTGGTGGCAAACTGGGGCGCTCAGCATCACCCTGTGCTCCTGCTTCAGCGACCTGCGCTCCCCAGTGATGCTGGTATCCCCCGTCCTGCCTCCCTGCTCTGCTGATTCACTTGCATCTCCACCAGCTTGTGCTTGTGCTATGGGAAGTTATCAAATTTAGGCCTTTTAAGCACTTCAAACCCATCAAAGCTTTTGTGTTTTGCTGTTGATTGCATTGCTGTTGGATGGGGGTTTTTAGATGTTGCAAAATGAGATAAAGACCCAAAATCATCAGTGAAGAATTTCTGCCTAGGATCCAATCTAAATCTCTGATTCTAACACCACTTCTTGGCCAAACCTGCTGCTGAAGCCTTTCATCCACTCCCAGCAATCAAACTTGACCCAAGTTACCCAAACCCCTCTCCTCACAGGTCTGCATCCCCACTTCTCTCTGTCGGTGGTGACTTAGGGACACCTCAACACGTGTGACCACTTCTACTTAAGATGCAGCATCACAGACAGGACCTGGCACAGCAATTTCTGCACCCTGACATTCCCACATTCCCTCTGCTAGAGAATTCATTCAGGGGGTGGAACAAGGTTCTGGTTTGCACAGAGGAGAGAAGAGCAGGGCAGGGTGCCCTCCACATCCCAGCCTCACCGCAGGACTGGATGCAGGAGGACAGGATGCACCCCTATGGATTCAGGACAGGCTGCACTCTGCTGCTCCTCAAAAAGCAGTACCGTGGGACAGCCCCGCCTTTGATAACTACTGCACCGTGCACACCAGCAAACCGGACACCACAACACACGCATGGAGCTGCAGCCCGTGCCCTGCTTGGAGCTGAACCCCCGCAAGAAGCCAGCTCCTTCCCCTGCCCGCTGTGAAATCACTCCCTTCCCTCCTCCCGCTGCAGCCCAGCGCCTCCGGTTCCCCCTCCCTGCACCCAACAACCACCACCGAGCCCCCGGGGGCCCCAATCTCCCTCCCTCACGCACCCGGGGATGCAGCAACAGCGGCTTATCAGTGCCTGCCATGCGCAGCCACCGCGGGGCTATCGCGGGCTGCGAGCCGGCCGGGGCATGGGGCACCGCGAGGGAGAAGCCACCGCCATAGGGGACCCCCCCCGGACACAGCGGGACGAGGCTGAAGCAAAGCCTGAGCACTCACGGGGCAGAGCGGCTGCCATGGCTCAGCCGTCACGGCGGGGTCCTGCTCCTCCCCATCCCGTGTCCGTCCAGGCAGAGGGGAGGAGCGCGGAGCCCATGCGAGCGGCTGTGCCATCCGCAGAGCACCCCGAGGCACCCCATGGGGCACAAAGGGGCTTCATCCCACCCGCGTGTCCCAGTGACACAGGAGCAATGAGCTCCCCGACCTCCTGCAAGCCCCTCATGTAACAGACTCGCGGCTATTCCCTTGCTGCTGGCAAAGCATGGCCGTGTCCTGCTCAAGCATCGGCTGCACAGAGCCCACAGCCGGTTTTGTCTCTGGAAGGCCCTCAACTGGAACTTCAGTAACACTCATGTCCATCCTTGCCCGCACACAACTTCCCTGGGTAGCTCATGCAACTCCCCATGCTCTGCCAGCAGGACAATAACATGAGATCAACAGTACCTGGAAAGCAGCCTGCAGGCACAAAGGTGACTTTGCTGCTGCTTCTCCCTTCTGCTGCCTCCTGCCTCCACTGGTGAGGAGTCAGAGCCCTTCACAGCTTCTTCAAGTATCACAGTCAAAAGCCCTCAGAGAGGAGGAGATGGAAACGTCCCTCCACAACAGCAAGAGCAAGTCCTCATGCAAACACATTAACCAAATGCTTAAATACAAAACCATGCTCAAGCTTTAGTTTGTAAATGGTTTCATTGAGGCCACCCCGATCCTCCCCAGATCTCCAGCAGCACCTTCACATCCCAGAGATCTCCACAGAATCCCAGCCTGGTTTGTGTTAAAGCTCATCCAGTTCCAACCCCTGCCATGGGCAGGGACACCTTCCACTAGAGCAACTTGCTCCAAGCCCCTGTGTCCAACCTGCCCTTGAACACTGCCAGGGATGGGGCAGCCTCTTCAATCTCTTTTGTGTCTCTTTGCTTTATTCAGTCTCTTTTGCACATCTTTAAATGAGACACGAAATGTAACCTCATGTGTCCTCAAGGACCAGACTGATCTTGCAGCCAGACCGATGTGTTGTCCCTCCTTGGTTAAAAGTACCTTCAGCACAGCATAAAGGGCTGAACTGGTCAACTAACAATGTGTAAAGAGGAAACTGCACATAAACTGTGTATTACGGCAAATTCAATATTAATAATGAAGGAAACAACAGCAATAAACATCAAAATGTGTGAATCTATCTCAAAAGAGGAAGTTTTTACATATCTCCATAGAGGTGCACTCTGGTGGGTGCTTCCAACAGCAGGTAACTGACCCACTGCAGAGAAGATAATTGCTCACAGTGTGTGAGGAAGGGGCACAAAAGTAGATCCATGAAGCAACAATTAATCCTGAAAATTGTGCCCAGTGGGAACATTCCCCCATCAGCCGGATTTGGGGCTCAACTGGGATCAATTGGGATTTGGCACAAAGAAACCCATTTACTAGCCCAGAGGAGGCAGCATCCTACCGGGGTGGTGTGAAGAGTAACGGAAACCCAACCAAATCCTGGCCACAGTGATTAAAAATGCCATCCTGGCTCAGGAAATTAAAGCACCAATTAAATCTGTGAGCCTGGTTTAAAGAGAGGAACGCGTAAATGACCTGGATTAAAGT